AGAGACTGGAAATCAATGTCTGATGCCATCTTGAAATCCAAGATGGTGGCTTCTGATTGTAGAAAAACTGGGAAATACTAGCAAATACCCTTCAATATGGGTGTTTTTGGAATCTGAATGACAAATAAAGACCGGAAATCAATGTCTGACGGCATCTTGAAATCCTAGATGGCGGCTTCCGGTTATAGAAAAACTGGAAAATAATGTCAAATATCCTTCAATATGGGTATTTTTGGAATCGGGATGTCATATAAAGACCAGGAATCCCTGATGCCGACCATATCGTATAATATTTTACACTTTTTCTAAAACATGTGGTCACCATCTTGCATTCAAAAATGGCGTTGTACATCGATATTCGGCCTACACGCGTCATTTCCGAGGTGATAATACCCATATTGTAAGGTATATCACAAGTTTTTAAAAGCCAATGCCTGCCATCTTGGAATCCAATAAGATGTTGGGCATCGATTTTCAGCCTCTATACGTCGTCTCCTACACACTTAGATTTTTTTCGACGATATTAGCACCATCGAGTAGTTCAGCATTTTATTTTGTTGGATCTCACTGAAAACTTGCCGAGATTGAACTAAAAAAACGGGAATTTTGCTGAGGTCTTCGCTAACAAACAGAAATTTCTCGGTAAAAAATCTAAACGCTTATCCTAAAATACCTATATTCTAGGGTATTTGACACATTTTGAAATCAATGGCTTCCAACTTGGGTTCCAAAATTGCGTCGGACATCGATTTTCAGCATTTCCGGTATTTATACGTCATCCTGATTTCAAAAATACCCATAGTGAAGGATATTTGGCATTATTTCCCAGTTTTCCTATAAAGGGAAGCCGCCATCTTGGATTTAAAAATGGCGTGAGACATTGATTTCCGGTATACATACGTCATCCTGATTTCAAAAATATGCATAGTGAAGGATATTTGGCATTATTTCCCAGTTTTAATCTAACCAGAAGCCGCCATCTTGGATTTCAAAATGGCGTCAGACATTGATTTCCGGTCTCAAGACGTCATCCTGATTCCAAAAATACCCATATTGAAGGATATTTGGCATTATTTCACAGTTTTTCTATAAAGGGAAGCCGCCATCTTGGATTTAAAAATGGCATCAGACCTTGATTTCTGGTATTTATACGTCATCCAGATTCCAAAAATACCCATATTGAAGGATATTTGGCATTATTTCCCAGTTTTTATCTAACCAGAAGCCACCATCTTGGATTTAAAAATGGCGTCAGACATTGATTTCCGGTATATATGCGTCATCTTGATTCCAAAAATACCCACATTGAATTATATTTGGCATTATTTCCCAGCTTTTAATGTTTTTATATAACCAGAAGCCGCCATCTTGGATTTTAAAATGGCGTCAGACCTTGATTTCCGGTATTTATACGTCATCCAGATTCCAAAAATACCCATATTGAAGGATATTTGGCATTATTTCCCAGTTTTTCTATAAAGGGAAGCCGCCATCTTGGATTTGAAAATGGCGTCAGACTTTGATATCCGGTATACATACGTCATCCTGATTTTAAAAATACCTATAGTGAAAGATATTTGGCATTATTTCTCAGTTTTAATCTAACCAGAAGCCGCCATCTTGGATTTCAAAATGGCGTCAGACATTGATTTCCGGTCTCAAGACGTCATCCTGATTCCAAAAATAGACATATTGGAGGATATTTGGCTTTATATCCCAGCTTTCCTACAACCGGAAGCCGCCATCTTGGATTTCAAAATGGCGTCAGACATTGATTTCCGGTATTTATACGTCATCCTGATTTCAAAAATACCCATATTGAAGGATATTTGGCATTATTTCCCAGTTTTAATCTAACCAGAAGCCGCCATATTGGATTTCAAAATGGCGTCAGACATTGATTTCTGGTCTCAAGACGTCATCCTGATTCCAAAAATAGACATATTGGAGGATATTTGGCTTTATATCCCAGCTTTCCTACAACCGGAAGCCGCCATCTTGGATTTCAAAATGGCGTCAGACATTGATTTCCGGTATATATACGTCATCCTGATTTCAAAAATACCCATAGTGAAGGATATTTGGCGATATATCCCAGTTTTTCTACAACCGGAAGCCACCATCTTGGATTTCAAAATGGCGTCAGACATTGATTTCTGGTATATATAAGTCATTCTGATTCCAAAAATACCCATATTGAATGATATTTGGCATTATTTCCCAGTTTTAATATAACCGGAAGCCGCCATCTTGGATTTCAAAATGCCGGCAGACATTGATTTCCGGTCTCAAGACGTCACCCTGATTCCGTAAATACC